AACCTTTGCCTCAATACAGTCAGACTTACCTACTGCACATAACACTTCATCAACCCAATGATGCAACAGTATCACGTTCTTTCAATGGGAGCTCTGTCTTCAAGGGGGCAAATAACTTAACAACAAAAAATGTGCATATACTGCTCTCTTATCATGAGTTCCCTGTGGAAAAGGAGCTCTTACCAGTCACTTCAACCCCAGGCCTAACATCTCCAGGCAGATTCCCACTCCTGACGTGTCTGAGATGCTTCTGACATTTCACTATAAACTACAGAGACGGGAACAGTTAAACCAATAAAGCCAGAAATAACTGTAAATTTGCAATGTGCTCTCATGCTTTACATACATTCGGATTAAAAGTCACGTATGGCATTTTTACCTCAACTTTGTGAAGGACAGTATATATCGATTACAAATTACTGGTGCTTATTAATGTTTTACAGCTATTTTTGATATGTGTCCCACTATTTAAAAAAGAAAAAAAAGGAATTGCTTCTTGTTGATTGCAAAATGAAAGAAAAAAAAAATGCTATTATCTGCGGTAGAGACATCCACCTACTCTTATATAGAAGTAGACAACCAGACAGCTTTCTTTTCTTTTGTCTGTGGTAATTGCAGACTGAAATAAAGACGAATCCATGCAGCTCTACTTATTTAACCTTTCAGTTTACCTCACAATCTCCACACTCAAGAATCTCAACATTTCTTGCATCAGCAGGAACGATGAAGCCCTGCTTTCTTAGAAATAGCTAAATAGTGACTTTATGCCCAACCTGGCCATATATAATCTTAAAAACCTAACAATACTACAGCTCAAAGAATTTTCCAACTGCACGAAGACTCACAGGTTACATAAATTACTCCACACCTTGTGGACTAAAAATGAGACACAGGACTTTGAAAAGAACACAATTTCTGAACAGCTGAATGCCACTGTGAGTTTAATGTCCCTTGCTTCTAATTTATTTTAAAGTGGTCTGAAGCAATAGTTTCCCAGTCCCCAGATTTTGGACACTGGCTGCTTTTTGACTCATTTTTAATCCAGTCCTTGAAGCTGACGATTTTTAAAGGATTGTTGTTGTTTTTTTGCTTGTTTATTATGCCACTTAACACTTATCTATGAATCATTCAAGCATAAAAAAGCCAATAAACTCAAGAGACAAATTAGTTTTGTGTCTACACATAACAAAAAAATATTAAAAATAAAAAA